AATACTGACCCTCCTAAAACAAAGACCTCTAGATAGGCTAACTAGATTTACCAGAAGGGCAAGTAGTGGGGAATGGCTAGGGGTGCCGACAACACAGCAGACAGTAGCAGGGATATCAGAGTATAAGGGCTCTCATCAGTGGAGGGAGGCTATAGGAGGGTGCCATCTGGGAAGTGAGTGTATAGTTGAATAAGATGGTTTGGGATGTTCTCTGTGATTTACACACCAAAAAAAAAATCAACAAATTTTTAAAAACATATTATATTTGAGGAGGAAGCATAAAAAGTTACGCCAGGTTAATCAGTAGAGGTGATAAACATTACCATTGAAATCTACCCAATGACTTTATAGACATACACAGGTGCCAAGGATCTGGGTGCAACTGATTATGACTAGTAATAATCAGACACATGCAGATTAGAGATGCATGCACTAATATCTCAGCGTTAGTAGTAATATACTGTAAGAAACAGTATATTTTAAAATGAAATGGAGATCTTTTTAAAGGTTAAAAACTCATTCAATTTTATGTCTTACAGGGCTTATACTGAGTTCAATAACTGATAACTGTATTAATTCAACAGCAAACCTAAAAATTTTATAGTCACTTTTGAAAGAGATGTATCTTTGCTCTGGAAACTGTTATTGAGTATGTTAAAGCTGTAATGAAATGCTTCTTCTAAAAACTTAAAAAAAAAAACTTGCATGAAGCAAAATCCCAACCTAACAGGTTCATGTATTAAAACATTAAAATTTTATTCTTTTTGTTTATTTTGCTTTGGAGACAGACAGGGTCTTGCTGTGTAGCCCAGACTGGGCTCAAATTCATAATCCTCCTCGGTGCTGGGATTACAAGTATGTACCATTGCACCTTGTTTGAAACCATTTTTTCTTTTTTTTTTTTTTTTTAAAGACAGACTCACTATGCAGGCCTGGTTAGTCAGCTGGAACTAGTGCATAGACCAGGCTGGCACTGAACTCATAGAAATCCACCTGTCTCTGCCTCCCCAGTGCTAGAATTAAAACTGTGTGCCACCATGTCTGGGCTACCAAGAGGTTTTTAAAATTCAGAAATTATTACAGGAAAATGGAGGAAAAGGGAGCTGGTAGTAAATGTAAACAGAACCAGGCCTAACCGCCCTGTTCCACCATCATGAGGACAAGTAATGCCAAAGCTGGGGTAACTCCTCTGATGTTCCACAGATCTGCATCCTTCAGTGTCAATCCAAATCAGGCATGGTGGCGCATGCCTAGAGGCAGGTAGATCTCCGTGAGTTCAAGGCCAGCCTGGTCTACATGGCGAGTTCAGGCCAGCTGGGGATATAGGGAGACCCTGTCTCAAAAAAACCAAAAACAAAAAGAAAACAAAACAATAACAACAACAACGAGTCTGTTATTACTGGGAGGAGGTTTTCTGGCCTGTAATTTCCAAACAGTATCAAAGGTAACTCCATATTCCCAGTTCAAATAACCAAGAAAAATAAAAAATATTAAATGAAATGTCAGTTTACTTACTTTTTGCATTTTTCACAACTGTACATATTGTCACCTACAAACAGAACAGACCTAGTCATTCATCTCAAATTGACAGCACATTCTTTTCTTCTGGTTCTGCAAGTCTCTGATTTGCCCAATGCTGACTTCACAGCACAATGAAACAGTCTCAGCTCCTGTTTATTTTCCCCACAACATTCATCATCATCTCAACTTTCAATCTTGAAAGACTAACTCAAGTAACTAATTTATTTACAGAAGAAAATTCACTGATACCTTGTCATATTTCCAAGCTAGATGCTGGACACACAAGAGTGTAGAATTTTCAATGAAATGGAAGACATAAAGACAATTCAAGGTACACTGGAAGACCATTCATTATCTTTGCTGAGGTTTTCCTTCTTTGAATCATAGAACAAAACGTGTCATGTTGTACTATAGGAATCTATATGAATTCCTTCAGGATATGACTTTTTGTAATTTTTTTTTTTTGTCTTTTTTAGACAAGGTCTCCCTGTAGCTCCAGCAGACCTGGAACTCACTATGTAGACCAGGCTGGCCTCGAACTCACAGAGATTTGCCTGCCTCTGCCTCTCAAGTGCTGGGACAAAAGGCAGGTGCCATCATACCCAGCAAGCAAGTACTATTTAAACTGCCCCAACAGTCAGTCATAAGTATGATTAATATTTCTTACCTTTCAGTTCGTCTCTGGCGAAGAAGGCAGCAAGACAATCTTGCAAGGTTACTACTGGACCCCAAAACCAGCTAGGGACACATGAGACAACAAACCTGAAACATCATCGACAGAAGAAAGAAGAAGTGTTCTGCCAGCACAGCAGAAGCAGCAGTGTCAAGAAAGTCAGAACAAGGAGAGTGCCTACCTCTTCACATACTCCATGAAAAAGGCTATCCACCCCTGTGGAGCATACGCTTCGCCACATGATCCTGCTTTGACTATAGAAGTTGGATGACTTGAAGAATGCAGCTTAGCAAGGTCTTCCTTGCCAGGAATTGGCAAGGACAGATCTTGAAAGGTCTCGAGGGTTACAGACACCTAAAATTGTTTTTTGTTTTCAAAATGGGATGAAAATAATCCAACACAAATATTTACAAGATTGATTTTTCTAAAGATCCAAGCAAGTTACAATAAGCAAATACAAAATAAGAAACAAACCGCTTTCATAATAATACAAAAAAAAAAAAAAAAAAAAAAAAGCCCCACTTGCTTTGTACCAGGTACCATTTCAAGTTTAATCCACATATAAGCACTAGCATTTCCGTGAGTTAGACATGTTACAGCACTTAGAAGCAATGAATCTAGCCACCTAGCCATGGTAGCTTGGTTCATGGACTGGGTCTCATTATGTATTATGTTTTCCAGGCTGGTTTCAAACTCTGGTACTCAAGTAATTCCCTCATTTCAGCCATGGGATTGTAAAATGATAGTTTTTAAAAGTCATTTAAAAGGGGGGGGGGGTGCCAAACCTCGCATCACCCTCACCTAAAGTGGAGGTACATATTGGGAAATGCAGTGTTTCTGGGGATCCATGGAGAATTTTTTTTTTTATCTTTTTGAGACAGGGTCTCCCTGTAGCCCCAGCTGTCCTGGAACTCACTAGGTAGACCAGGCTGGCCTTGAACTCACAGAGATCTGCCTGCCTCTGCCTCCCCAAGTGCTGGGATTAAAGGCGTGTACCACCACGCCCGGCCCATCTAGAATATTTAACACAGACTAAGATGACTACAATGTCTTAGGTATCATAATCTTACTATCTGTCACATGCAGTCTGTTCTTTACTACAATGTTATACATAACAGTGTAGAATAAAACATTTATGGATAATACACATCCTATTTTAAAATGACCCACTGAATGCCCTTCTGTTTGACTTAACAATATTAACTAAAAATTTAGTTTTCTTGTTTCTGCAAATGCTTTTTTTTTATTCTTTTTTTTTTTTTTGGTCTTTTGGAGACAGTGTCTCCCTATAGTCCCAGCTGGCCTGGAATTCATTATGTAGACCAGGCTGATCTGGAACTCACAGAGATCCGCCTGCCTCTGCCTCTTGAGCGCTGGACTAAAGGCATACGCTACCACGCCTGACTCTGAGACATTATTTAAATTAATTGACTTTTTATTTCTGCACTAAAGTAAAATCATTCTTAAGAAAAGCTATGGAATTTTTAAGGATTTAGGTAATAATTAAAAAATGTCATGATAATTTTAATTTATACCTGACACAAGGCCTCGTATCAGGGTTTGTGTTTGGCTGGTTTTCCTTGCTACTGACTATGAATTTGACATTATTTTTTTCCTGGAGCACCTGTGTCAAGGAAAACACAGAAGCCACAACCAAATATAAGCGATGTATCTACTATCTTTTGTTTGTGAAAAGCAACAGACTCCCAGCACACTAATTTCAGTAGCCTTGGGAGAATACCCATGTGTTAACAATTCTTGTTGCTAAGCAACTTCTCACCTTTCTATGGACCCAAAATAGATGAAGACTCTACCATCCTTTAATAAGGATGTTGCTATTAGTTCCAAAACCAATTTATACACATACACATGATCATACACATGATCTGCAGTAGTAGCATGCCATTAAAATTTTCATGTCCCTTCAGGCTTTAAATGACATTTAACAGCAATTTTCTGTAGATTTATGATGTTCCCCCATACTCACCCTATCGCAGGTCAGACACTGCACTGAACTAATGATGGTTCCATCAAATATGTCTGAAATAACACTTCTGTACTTCTTATGCTGCTTTCTTCTTTTAGGAGAGGTAGGCTGAGCTAGGATTAAAAGACAAACAATATTAAAAAGAATCAAGCTAGTTTCTTGAATATTTTTCTCTCAAATCTTTTTTACATTCTCTGGAGTTTTTGGTTTTCTTTTTTTTTTTTCTTCTTTTGTTTTGTTGTTGTTTGAGACAGAGTCTCCCTATAACCCCAGAAGGCCTAGAACTTGCTATGTAGATCAAGCTGGCATCAAACTCACAGAGATTTCCCTGTGTGATGGTTTAAATGAAAATGTCCCACAAGTATTTGGACATTTTGTCCCCAGTTGGTGGCACTGTTTCGGGAGGTCTTAGAAGGTGTGGCCATGCTGGAAGAAGCATGTCACAGGGAACAGACTTAGAGAGTTCTTAAGCCTTGCCAGATCTCCAGTTGGTCTCTTGTTTCCTCTGCCTGCTTGAAGATGTAGAGCCTAGCTTCTGCTCCTCTGCCAGCCACCTTTGTGGCCATGCCTCCCAGCCACGATGGACTCTTGCCTCTTGGAACTGTAAGCTCAAATAAATTTTTCCTTCTATAAGTTGCTTTGGTCAGTGTTTCTATAATAGCAACAGAAAAGTAACTAATATAACCTGCTTCTGCCTCCCAAGTTCTGAGATTAAAGGCATGCACCACCACATCCAGCCTGGGTTTTTGTTTTTGAGACAGAAATCTCTGTAGTCTATGATGGCCTCCAACTCACCATACAATGGAGACTGGCTTGAACTCCCAATCTTCCTGCCTCTATCTCCTACTACACTGGGGTCAGGGACACCACACCTTGCTTTCTCTACAATTATTTTAAAAAATAGTTTATTTTTATTTATGTGCATGTCTGGGGGCGGTGTCACAAGAAAGCATCAGATCCCCTGGAGTTGGAAATTACTGGCAGCTGAAAGCCACCTGACATGGGTGCTGGGAATCAAACTATAGTTCTCTTGCAAGAGCTGCAGGTGCTTATAACCAATGAAACACCCATCCCTCGAGAATCTTTTAATAGCAAAAATTACTACACTCAGCCAGCAAAATGGCTCAGCAGGTAGAGATGTTTGCTGCCAGGCCTGAGTTTGATCCCCAGGACCCACATGGTGGAAGGAGAGAGCCAACGCCCTCTGACCTCCACAAACATGCTATAGCATGTGTATCCATGCACACATGCAAATAAGTAAATAAATGCAACTTAAAATTTTTTACGGGGCTGGAGACATGGCTCAGCAGTTGAGAGCACTCTGACTGCTCTTGCAGAGGACCCAGCTTTGTTTCCCAATACCTACATGGTGGTTAACAACCATTGGGAACCCCAATTCCAGATCTGTTACCCTCTTCTGGCCTCCACAGGCTTGTAGACACAGCTGCCCTTACATATATGCAGGCAAAACATTCATACACATACAATTTTAAAAAAATGAATCAAAAAATTTTAATCTCTATACTGTAGAAAAATTTCCAAAATACATCTCAAGACCATTACTTTAAACAGACAGTCAAATCAGATTGGGCTTAAGCTGGTTTTAAAGTATTTTTGGCCACGTAAATGTACATACAGAAAAATGAAAAGAATCTGAATTGGCATAATATTCTAAACATTTTTCCATATGCAAAATGAAGAATTAGCCTCATCACTGGGATATTTAAGTTCAGCAGGTCAAAGGAAGATGGGAGTGAAGTTAGTAAGGGCAGGATGGAGAGCTAAGGGTCCAGGCTCCACGTTTCACTTCAGAGCAATTATGACTGCTGTCCTAGTTTGTTCTCTATTGCTGTGACATAACAGTCTGACCACTACCAACTTGGGGAGGAAAGGGTTTATTTAGCTTACATATCCCAGGTCACAGCTCATCAGGGAGCCCTAGGTAGGAACTCAGGGCAGGAACCTGGAGGCAGGAGCTGGGAGCACAGGCCATGGAGGAATGCTGCTTACTGGCTTGCTCCCCTGGCCCCTGCTCAGCCTGCTTTCTTATGCAACACAGGCCCACCTGCCCAGGGGTGGCACCACCCAGAGTGAGCTGGGCCCTCCCACATCACTCATCAAGAAGATGCCCTTCAGACATGGCCACAGGCCAGTCCAATGGAGGCAATTCCCCAATTGAGGCTCCCTCAACCCAGATGTGTCAAGTTGACACTAAAGCTATCCAGCACAACTGCACTTGTTTTTGCTTCCAAATAAGGCTCTCTTCAAAGCAAGGTTCTATTACTGTATGTACTTGTCGATACAGGCTCTTTGGGAAAAAATATTTACAAGTTGACAATCTTATCCTTAACAACGTCCTTTGCCAAAAAAAATTTTAGTTTTTTTATTTTAATATTTTATTATTTTTATTTTATGTGCATGAGTGTATTGCCTGCATGTATGTAAGTGCATCTGTGTTGTGCAATGCCACGGAAGTCAGAAGAGGGAGTCAGATTCCCCTTGAACTGGAGTTAAGGACAGTTCATAGCCACCATGTGGGTGCTGGGAATCAAACCCAGGTCCTCTGCAAGAGTAGTCAGTGCTCTTAACCACGGAGCCATCTCTCCAGCCCCAATTTTTAGTTCTTTTATAGATGACCTTTTTGTTTAAAGTGTGTATGGTGTGTACATGGGCTTCTCAAATGCCACAGCAAGTGTGTGGAGGTCAGAGAACAACACTGTGAAGTCAGTTTTCTCCTTTTACCTTTATTATGGTTCTGGGGATAAAACTCTGATCCTCAGGCTCAAATAGCAGGTGTTTTTATCCACAGATATCATGCTGGCTTATGTTTTCTGATGTTTTTAAGAATCTTTAAGGGGCTAGCTAAATCTTGGTGATTAAAGCACTGGCTGCTCTTATAGAGGACCCAAGTTCAATTCCCAGCACCCATATGGTGGCTCACAACCATCCATAACTCCAGCTCCAGAAGAATCTGATACCCTCTTCTGATCTCTCCGGGCATCGCATGACACAGGCTCTCTTACATACGTGCAGGCAATATATTCATACACATAAAATAATATTTTTTTTAATTTTTAATAAAGAATAAAATGAACATAAAACACAGGAAACCGAGTTCTAGGTCCTTATCCTTGGCAAACAAAAACCTCGGATGTACAAGAACCTATACATGAATGTTTATAGCCACATTATTCATAACTGCAAAAACTGCAAACAATTAAGTCCTTTACTGAGTGAATGAATAAGCAGTGGTTTAGTGATACAACTGAAACACAAGTGAGCAATGAAAACAAACCACTCAGATATGCAACAAAGTACCCAGTTTTCAAGTGTATTATGGTAAATAACAGAAGTCTTGTACCATATGGTCCCCTTTACAGGGCATCTGGAGAAAGGCCAAACAGGAGTGACTCAGTGCCAGTGTGTCAGACCTTCAGGAGTGGAGGACAATCTAATCACAAAGTAGAATGCAAGAACTATTCTGGGTGTTAAAACGGTTATAAATTTTGTTTGTGATAACAAATAAATGTCATGTGTTTTAAAACTCTTAATTTTTTAAAAATTTTTATTTATTATTTTTATTTTATGTGTATGAGTGTACTGTCCAGATGTGTGTAAGTACACCTCTGTCATGCAATACCCGCGGAGGTCAGAAGGCTACAGTATTGGATCCCCTCGAACTGGAGTTACAGACAGTTGTTAACCACCATGTCGGTGCTGGGCATTGAACGTGGGTCCTCTGCAAAAGCAGTGGGTGCTCTCAACCACTGAGTTTCTCCAGCACCGAAACTCATGAAATTTTTTAAAAGTAAATTAAACTATGCCAAAAAATTTATAAGTAGAGTAACACAGACCCAAAAACTTCTAATCATGGTTGTGTAATTCTCTATTAATTCAAGAGATCAAATAGTATTTCCCAACACTTTATCAAATATCAGATCAGAATTAGCAGTGTAAACTAAAACTTAAAATGGAAAGAATCTGAATGAGGGGATTCTCTTACCTTTTTTGTGGGGTGGTGTCAATCCTGGCCACAAACTGCCTGACTTAGGAGGGCTTGTTGAGAAACGTGGATTAACATTTTCATTTGATGGAAGAATCTGTGGTGTAGACAGGTCATTCAAGTGGACATCAGTGTTGTATCCTGTAATAGTTAAATTTTTATTATTACCTTGAACTAAAATCATTAAATAAAACTAATAATGTGAAGGGTCCTTAGTCTGATATTCTGAAGACAGCACATGCCAACCAATGCCAGCTGCGATGCTGGATGGTCAAGTGCTTGCTAAGTGGTAGTGGCAAAACAGAGCCAAAGACAACATATGTGCCCCAGTTCAGAAAAGCCATTCCGAAGTTTAAAACGGTTGTTTTTCTTTTTTTCTTCAAACAAGGTGTTATGTAGCTCAGGCTGACCTCAGACTCTATGCAGCCAAGGGGGATCTCCTGATCACCTGATCTGCCAGCCCTCACCTCCCAAATGCTGGGATGACAGGCACACACCACAGTGATTGAGGCTCCTTCATTTCTCTTTTTAAGATTTTTTTTTCTACTGTGCTGTCTGTATACAGTATGTATATATGAGTGCAGGCGCCCATGGAGGCCCCGGGGGAGCTGAAGGTTACAGGCTTTTGAGCCACCTAACATGGGTGCTGGAATATGGGTGCTCTGGAAGAACACTACATTCTCTTAACTGCTGAGCCATCTCTCTAATAAATTTATTTATTTATTTAAAATTTTTCAGTGCTGGGAAAGGAATATAACCTCAAGAATGCTAAGCTATCAAGCCAGCCTGGTCTCCAAAGTGAGTTCCAGGCCAGTTGGGACTGCAGGAGACCCTGTCTCAAAACAAAAAACAAAACAAAAAAGGGCTATGCTAGTGTTCTACCACTGAGCCACACCCCTAAGTCCACGATTTTTTTTTTTAAGTGCAAGAAAAAAGATTATTGTCTTAAATTAATGTAGTAAATCAAAATCAAACATGAAATTCAGGCATTTGGGGGTTAGAGAGATGGTTCAGCACTTCAGAGCACTTACTACTCTTGAAGAGGACCCAGGTTCAAGTCCCAGCATCTATATAACGGTTCACAACACCTATAACTCCAGTTCAAGGGATCCGACACCCTCTTCTGGCCTCTGAAGGCGCCTGTACACATTTGGTACACATAATCCCATGTAGGAAAACAGACATACACATAAAATACATCTAAAAAAAATCCAGGCAAAATTAGTTATGTTTATTCTCACTAATAAAAATGAGCTGTGTCTCTTACTTAGGAAAAGTCTTTTCAGAACTAAATTGTAAGATGAATTAAGAAAGCATAAATTGGACTGGAGCATTGGTTTAGCACTTAAGAGCACATGCTACGCTTCCAGAAGATCCGAGTTCAATTCCCAGCAACCACATTCAGTGGTTCAAAACCACCTGTAACTCTAGCTCCTGGGGGATCTGATGCCTCTGGCTGCCACTGGCACTTGCATTCACATGTACATACCCACACAGTGACACACGTATACACATAATTAATAAAAATAGGGAGCTGGAGAGATGGCTCAGTAGTTAAGGGAGCTGGCTGCTCTTGCAGAGGACAGTTCTGTTCCTAGCACCCACACGGCAGCTAACAAGCATGGGAATCTCCAGTTCCAGGGGATCCGACGCCCTCTTCTGGCCTCTGTGGGCACTGCATGACACAGTTGCACTTGTATACATGCAGGCAAAATATTCATATACACAAAATAAAAATAAAATTATTTTAATTTTTAAAAATTGATGGGGCTGGAGAGATGGCTCTGTGATTAAAATCACTGGCTGCTCTTGCAGAGGACCTGAGTTTGGTTCCCAGCACCCACATGGTGGCTAACAATTGTCTATAACTTGAGATCCAGGGGATCTGATGCCCTGGGGGTTTTTTGTTGTTATTTTTGTCTTTTTGAGACAGGGTGTCCCTGTAGCCCCAGCTGTCCTGAAACTCACTATGTAGACTAGGCTAGCCTTAAACTCACAGAGAGATCCGCTTCCCGTAACCTCCAGAGCACTGGGATTAAAGGTGTGTGCCACCATGCCCAGCTAAAACTCTTTTTTATTTTTTATTCATTTTTATTTTATGTGTATGAGTGTATTGCCTGCATGTGTGTAAGTGTACCTATGTCATGCAGTGCCTACAGAACTGGGCTATGAATGGTTGTTAGCCTCCATGTGGTTGCTGAGATTCGAACCCAGGTCTTTCTTTTGGAAGAACAGCCAATGCTCTTAACCACCAAGCCATCTCTCCATCCCTGACGCCCTCTTTTGACCTCTGTGGGCACTGCACAACACAGGTGCACTTACATACACGCACGCACTACACTTATACACATAAAATAAAAATTATAAACAAAATATGTTTTTTCAATTGCCAAGCATCATAGCACATGCCTTTAATCCCAGCACTCAAGAAGCAGAGGCTGGTGGTTCTCCGTAAGATCAAAGCTAGCCTGGTCTACATAGCGAGTTTCAAGCCAGCTGGGACTCTAGGGAGACTCTGTCTCAAAAAAACAAAAAAATTAATCAATTAAAAAAACAAAAATAAATTTTAAAAATTATAAATCTGATGCATGCTATCTTGACAGTTTGTTGATTTCTAACATGTCTTCCAAGGCAAGAGACTGTGTTCAATGATGACACAAATGAAAAGAGAGGGAAAAAAACTGTTGATAACAATATCAACGGCTAACTAATAAGACCTCACAATACTGAAGGTGAAAGCCTCACTTTCTGAACAGAAAGCAACCAATGGTTTCAGAAGTTCAAAAGTATGTCCTGTAAATGGACAGATAGTAAATACTTTAGGTTTTGAGCACTATATGATCTTGAGTCTGATGTAAAACTTCTAGAAAGCTCAGTCCTGTTTAAACTCATTATCTAGTTAGTATACAGTAAAAGCAAACACAGGGGATGGGGTGCCATACTGCTCTTCCAGAGGACCTGAGTTTGGTTCCCAATACCCACATCAGGTAGCTCACAACTGCCCAGGAGATCTGACACCTCTGGCTTCCTCAGGCATACACATACCCAAGCACAGACACATACACATAGTTTAAAACAATAAAAATAAATCTTAAAAAAAAAAGGACAAACACACAAACATGCAATAAAGGCCAATGTGTCCCTGAATCATGCTTCCTCAGGCTTCTGACAAGGAAGGTGTGGATAGCAGCCTAGGCCATCTTTCAGAACTGACGTTTTGTGTATTATTGATTAAAAAACTTCTACTAAGGTATGACTAAAGAGCTTAAGTACTCATTTTCTTGACTAGAAGGCACGTACAAGTAAACCACAGGACTTTGTAAGGCTAAGGAAATAGTATTCTTCAAGAAGGAATTTTGGATTCATTCAAACAGTTAAATTGCTTAGTAGCTCTCTTCAGTAATTACAGGGATAGAACTTTTTTTTTTTAACTTATTGGTCCTGAAAAATCACATAATTTGATACTCTAATTTTATAAATTAGAGAAATCATTATGCCAAATACATTAGTTCTTAAAGAAATAAATATAATATGCAAAGCTTTATCTCAAATGTCTTTCATTTGGCTATTTGCCCTTTCTTCAAGGAAGACTGACCAATATGACATAATGTATTTATAAGAGGGTTCATTTACATATCCAGTGTATCTACAGTGGCAGCCACAGTGTTTGTGATTTTAAAAATTGGGTGATTTAAAAAAAATGGGTGATTTTGTTTTTCCTCAGGATCAACAGAATTTGCTTGAAATATAAGGGAAAATTCCAAAGAGCCCAATTTTTTTTTGAGTATTATATAACTACATAAAAGAATCCTGGGCCAGGCATGGTGGCACACGCCTTTAATTCCAGCAGTCGGGAGGCAGAGGCAGGTGGATCTCTGTGAGTTTGAGGCCAGCCTGGTCTCCATAGTGAATCCAGGACAGCTAGGGCTACAGGGAGACCCTGTCTCGAAAAGCCAAAAAAAAAAAAGAATCCTGATGAGTATTTGGTTAAAAAGAAAGATAACTTCTTAAATAAATGACCCATAAAATTATAGTATTTTCAGTTTTCTAATTTTATGACTTTAACATTCCTATAGCACTGATCTACAAATCTACTAATTAAAAGTTCCAAAAGTAGCCGGGTGTGGTGGCGCACACCTTTAACCCCAGCATTTGAGAGGCAAAGGTAAGCAGATTTCTGTTGCATGAGGCCAGCCTGGTCTATATAGTGAGTTCCGCACCAACAGGTTTACATAATAAGAACCTGCCTCCAAAAACAAGGTCAGAGGTCACTATGAGTTAAGCACTCAGTGTCCACAAATGAAACGTAATCATTTTCACAATTGAACTACTGTCACCTGAAGCACGGCCGTGTATCTGCACTTTGACAGTCTCCTGGCTGTTCAAATCAATGGTTTCACACACAGCGTCTCTGTCTCTATCCAGTTCTCCTTCAGAATTTGCTTTATTGATTTTATTGCACATCTTCTCTTTCTGCCAGTCTTTTGACATCTCAGGGTTGTTCTCATCGTCCTGAATCAGCATGGTGGTCTCACTGTTGTCTTCAGGAAAGCCTCTGGAGCCAGGCTCGTTCTCAGCTTTCTCACTGCTGCTACAAGACTCGCAGGACTGAAAATCCACGTCCGACTGGCTCTTCTCTTCGTCCATGGTCTCCTCAGAAGCCAGGGTCTGAGGGTCGTCTTCTACTTCCATGACCTGCTCTTTTAATTCTTCATGAAGCAGATCCATCAAACATCGAAGGAATTCTTGGGCATCCTAGCATATCAACAAAACCTGTTACCAGTCTAGAAATGTACTGAGAACCTAAAGGAGGAGACATCCTGATGTGTACAGCATTGACCAGATTCCAGTTTGTAAAGCACAATGCAAATAGCCACCAGTGTGTAGACCATAATGCACCAGAGGGCTGGGATACAATACACTCCAAAAGTTCTACAAGTAAAACAACACTTTTTAATAAAACTGGATGTCAGCTTTTAATACAGCTGCTATTAAAATACTGGATAATGGTGACACACATCTTTAATCCCAGCACTTGAGAGGCAGAGGCTGGCGGATCTCTGTGAGTTCGAGGCCAGCCTGGTCTACCTAGTGAGTTCCAGGCGAGCTGGGACTACGAGGAGACCCTGTCTCAAAAAGACCAAAAAATAAAAAACTGAACAGATAACAAAATAAGGATTTTCCTCATGTGACAATCAGAAATCAGCAATATGTCTTAAAAGCAAATATGTAAATTTGGTTTAAGTTAAGAGCTTTTTCTTTTATGAACTGTGTCTCCAAGAGAAATTCTAGATCTACCTGAAGAGCTTACTGAAAATACAATTCCTGGGCTGGAAAGATGGGTCAGCAGGTAAAAGCACTTGCCATACAAGCCTGACAACCTGAGTTCGATCCCTAGAAACCACTGTAGAAGGAGAGCAAACTGCACAAAGCTATCCTTGGACCTCTACACATGCACTGTGACAAGTATATGCCTGCACTCACACACACACTCTACATACACACAACACAACACAACACAACACACACACAAAATCTAAAAAAAAAATAACAAATTTCCCAAATCATATCACTGGATGATCTCCGGAGATCCAAGAATATCTATGGGAAAAGGTATTAGGGAATAGGTAAAGGTCTAAAAAGGAGAAATGTGAGGACCAGGTATAAACACTCACGAAATGTTACTAGAGTTAACAGGAACTGCCCAAGAAGAGCTCTCAGAAAGCTCACAGAAGTTAGAAGGGGCAGGGCAATGGTAGAGCACTGGCTGAGCATACAACAGATACGGCATTCACTGGATCCAAAGCAATACAATAAATAACTAAATGGCCAGGCATGGTGGGGCACACCTGTAATCCCAGGACATGGGAGGTAGAAGGAAGAGGATGAGGGTTGACGGTCAAGGCCAGCCTGAGCTATGTAAGGCCCTGTCTCAAAAAACCAAAAACAAAGATACACAGGAACAATGATCAAAACAGATCAGACTCAAATAAAAATGCATAATAGCACTTTCTATTTATTAAAGATTAACAAAGGGGGGCTGGAGAGGTGACCGAGCAGTTAACAGCACTGGCTACTCTTTCAGAGGACCCAGATTTGGTTCCCAGCACCCACATGGTAGCTAACAACCATCTGTCACTACAGTTCAAGGGCATCTGGTGCTCTCTTCTGACCTCCGTAGGCAGTGCACAACACATGTGCATTTACATACATGTAGGCAATACACTCATACACATTTTTAAAAAAGATTAATAAAGCAATAACTAACCTGCTGAGAATAGCCTCGAAATGTTGGATTTACAGTTTTAATTCCTTGAAACAGATTAGTAGGCACAACAGACCCTGGTCTGAAAAAGAAACAGTTTTAAATACAAATTTTTATAATTTTAATTTTTTGTGAATTACATTAATTTTTTATTACTTTCCTCTCCTAATTAAATGATCACATTACAAATACACGGTATTTTTCAAAAATGCAACTTCACAAATAGTTCTAAAAGAAAATGAACACATTATAGCAAATAATTATTATCCTAACGATGAACTCTAGACCAAACCAGTGCAAGCAGGTGAGTATTCACCAAGCTTCTCATGTCTGAATGCAGCACCATTCCAGGAACAGAAGCTTCAGCAGCTCAGCCCTGCATCACCTGTGTGGACCGCTTAAAAGGCTACACTGAACTGTGTCAACTCTCTCTTCCATGTTTTTTTCAGCCCTATAAATAGGTCTGCATTCTTTTCATATTTTACTATTGATTTTTAAATATAACAAAGGTAAATATATTTAAGTACATACCTGCTCTTGTGCCATAATTCTGTCATTAGTTTGAGATAACTTTTGCAAATAGCTGGTTTCTTATCTGTTCTAGCTAGTCCTCCACAGTCAAGAAAAAACTGTGTCAAAGGTGGGCTAATTTAAAAAGAGAAAAATGTTACAATAGAATCAAAGCTGAATTCTAATTCAGCTGAATCCTAATGCCAATGAACTGGCAGCACACGTTCTGCCCCTTCTACAGTTTCTCCCTTCTAGTTTAACCTTCTGCAGTGTAAGGAGTTCAATCAATCAGATTTGGCCCCATCAAATCACAGTCCTCCATGCTGCCAGATCCAGGTAACACCTATCACTGACTACCCTTCCTTCCCTTTTTTGAGACAGGGTTTCACTATGTAGCCCTGCTGACCTAGAACTCACTATGCAGACCAGGCTGGCTTCAAATTCAAAGAGATCCTGCCTGCTTCTACCCTCTGAGTGCTGGGATAAAAGGCATGCAGCACCATATCTGGCCTACCCCCTTCTTTATAAGTTTTTCTTTTTCAGAGTCTTGAAATTGGGAATGGTAGGGCACATCTAAAATCCCAGCACTTAGGAAACACTAGCAGGAAGATCACCATGAGTTCAAGGCCAGCCTGGCCTGGGCTACACACTGAATATCTTATCAGGAGGGAGGAAAGGACAGAAGGAAGGAAGGAGGGAGGGAGAGAGGGAGGGAGGGAGGGAGGGACAAAGAGAGACACAAAGGGAGAGGGAGGAGATGTAGAGAGAAGAGAAAGAAGGAATAGAGGGAGAGAGGGAGGAAGGGAAGAAGGAAGGAAAAGGAGGGAAGGCTGTTATGTAGCCCAGGCTGGCCCCAAACTCATGATCCTCCTAGCTCAGCTCCTCCTGAATACTGGAAATATAGGCATGTACCATCGTGCTCAGCTGCCTCATTGTTGACAAATCTCAACGTTTTCTACTCTTCCTCTTCCCTCCTAGGCAACTTCCCCCTCTTACTGTTCTTCCTGTTCTTAGGCATCAAAATACAGGGTTTCTCAGGACTATAATCCTGTGACTTTTCTTCTCTTCCAAATATGCTCTTTCTTGGGTTATCTTAAATTCCCACCTATATACCAGTGACGGCCAAATCTGTATAACCTCAGCCATCTTATCCAAACTACATTTATATCAAATGCCCAAACTGTCATGGTGTTTCAAACTTACAAGCGAATCTACTCTTCTAACCATCTTCTATATCTAAAAACATTTTTATTATTTGTGTGTGTGTGTGTGTGTGTGTGTGAGAGAGAGAGAGAGAGAGAGAGAGAGAGAGAGAGAGAGAAAGGGAGAGAGAGAGAGATGGGAGGGGGGAGAGATGTGGAGTTTACTCCTTCCATCTTTATATGGGTTCTAGGGATCGAGCTCATGTCACCAGGATTGTGCTGGCAAGCACCTTCACCTGCTGAGCCATCTTGCCGGCCCATCGTCTACATTTTATACGTTGGTTCCTGAAGTTAGCAACTTAGAATGCAGTACCATCTTTTATGAAGTCTCATTACCTTGAGGGAACTTTGATCACTCTTCTTAGTTCTAGGAAATTGACTCAAGAAAGGACCAAGTAAGCCCTGCCTGCAAAACACTGATCATCTACAAAGGTGCTTCAACAGTCACGAAACCAACCCAACAAAGACCACACCTTTACTGTCTATATCTTGTCAATGAAATTTTTAAAATGCAAAGTAAATTTATGGAGGCAGTATTGTACAGTAACCAAAAAGGATCTAAACGAACAGGCTGCAGGTACAGATTCGTGGTAGAGCACTTCCTAATAGGCATGAGGCCCTGGGTTCCATCCTTAGAACCAAAGAAACTTAAAAAAAAACTAAAGCAACAAACATAAACACTAAAATTTCATCTTTAGAATTCTGCTCTAATACTAGCTACTAGCCCTGGTAAAGTTAAACTTCTCTATTTAGCTTTCCTCTCTTTCTCCTTTCATTCATTCATTCCTTTCTTTTTTACTTTTAATGTGTATGAGTGTTATGCATGCATGTGTGTAAGTACACCTGTGTCGTGCAGTGCATGTCAGGGAGGACAGAAGAAGGCATAGGATCCCCTGGAACTGGAATTATGGATGGTTGTTAGCTGCCATGTGGGTGCTGGGATTCGAACCCAGGTCTTCTGCAAGAACAGCCAGTGCTCTTACCTGCTGAGCCATCTCTCCAGCCCCTCATTCATTTCTTGAGACAGAGTCTCACTCTGTAGCCTAGGCTGGTCTTGAACTTGCAACTCTCCTACCTCCACCTCCAAGTGTTTGGAGTACAGGCATGAGCTACCTAGGCCTGCTTTCTGTTTCACTCTCTTATGGGTTAAAATCATAGGACTGGGTGTGGGGCCAGTTGGAATAGTGGTACATGCCTGGAATCTCAGCACTCAAGAAGTTGAAGCAGAAAGATTATATTCAAGGCTAATTGCCTACATAGCAAGTTCAAGACCAGTCTGGACTACACATCGAGACCCTGTCTCAAAAAACACAGAAGATTAAACATGAAATAAAATAGCAATAGTATTAGCATATAGTTCCCTCATAACATGATTGCATTATTAAACTTCACATTTGCTTCCCCCATTCTCTATTTACTCAACCATATCCTGGCAAGCACTCATTCTACTTTAAAAAGTCTGTCTCTTCGGGCATGGTGGTGCGCGCCTTTAATCCCAGCACTCGGGAGGCAGAGGCAGGCAGATCTCTGTGAGTTCAAGGCCAGCCTGGTCTCCATAGAGAATCCAGGACAGCTGGGGCTACAGAGAGACCCTGTCTCAAAAAAACCAAAAAAAAAAAAAAGGCTCTCTCCAATTCATGTGTTCCAAGACTGAGCAAGGCACCATTATTTCTTTCTTTTCTTTTTTTTTGGTCTTTTTGAGACAGGGTCTCCCTGTAGCCCCAGCTGACCTGGAACTCACTGTGTAGACAAGGCTGGTATCAGACTCAGAGATCACCTGCCTCTGCCTCCCAAGTGCTAGATCAAAGGTGTGTGTCACCACACCTGGCAGCACCATTATTTCTAACCTCCCCAGCTCCTCATAGGATTTCCAAACTAAAAGTAACTTAAGGAATTAACTAAGTTCAAGCTCTTATTTTATATATATAAATAAACACTTTTCCTGGGACTGAAGAAATGGCTCAGTGGCTAAGAGCATTTGTTGCTCTTGCAAAGGACCAGGGTTCAGTTCCCAGCATCAACATGGTGGCTCAGAACCATCTATAATTCCAGTTCCAAGGGAGTCACCCTTTTCTGACTCTGACGCCAAGGGAAATCAGGCACACACACACATGGTACACATACATACAACATGTATACATACAGATAAAACATTCAGACACATAAAATACAAATAAATCTTCTAAATTTTTTGTCGGGGTACAGCTCTGTGGTTGAGCACTTGCCCAGCATGCATGAGGCCATGTGTCTGAGCCCCAGCACTGTAAAAAAGAAAAACAAATACTCTGCCCAAGGATATTGAAGTACCTGAAGTCTAAGCCAGGACGACCAGTTTTAGAAAACCACAGGTATGAACCAGGTGTGTTTGTGGATGCCTGTAATCCCAGTACTTGAAAAGGACAAGCAGGAGGATCAGAAATTCAGTCATCCTCAGCTACATGTTTCCTGAGCAGCCTTGGCTTCGTATGACTCAAAAGAAAAACAAAAACCTTATAGACATACACACAGAACCCCACTGGGACTATAGTGGGCTATGTCCTAACCCAGATTCCTGCTTTTTTTACTTCAGAAGTTAGTCAGCTACTGCAATAGCATGGTCTTCTGCTCAAACAGTGACCTTTAAACCCATATAAACAAAAACAAATCAATCCTCTACTTACCAATTAGAAAGAGCCTGCAGAGCTGCATTCATATAACAGGTATTTCCAATATTTTTCAAACCTGTAAGGCCTATTAAGAACAAATATGTTACAGCATCACTCAATAAAACATAAATGACACAGATTTCTGAGTGTTTATTAGGTACAACTATTTCAAAAATTAAAACTTATAACAACTTAGATGCTGTGCTTTGGAAACCTTTCAATCTCAAAAAAAAAAATTCTTTAAATGATAGGGTTGTACTAGAAAAAAAACAAAACAAAGAAAAAGACAGGGCTGTACAATGCGGCCTCAGCTGGTCTGGAACCTGCTGTGACTTCCAGGCTTGCCTTGAACTCTTTCCTGTCTCTGCCTCCCAAATACTTAGATTAAAGAATGTGCACTACCACATCCAGCCTCAATCTCCAACTGTTTAAGCTTTGGGTAAATTCAATGATTTGTTAGTTTAACCTGTAAAATTTACACATAAATATTAATCTTTTTTTTCTGTTATGTAATGAAGAATCCTTTTTTTGTTTTTTTTTTAAGAATATGAGTTAAGCTGGGCATGGTAGCACATGCCTTTAACCCCAGCACCTAGGGAGGCAAGGACATGTGATCTCTGTGACTTCAAGGCAAACCTGCTCTATAGTTCCAGGCCAGACAGGGTTATGTCTTTAAAAAAAAAAAAAAGAAAAGAAAAGAAAAAAGGATACAAGTTAAAGGCTTGAAATTCTCATTACAATCAAAGTATAATTATATGAGAAAATCATTTGATGATGATGCAAAATATTTACATTGTAACGGACAATGGACATCCGTTTCCTTCCCTTTCAGGGCATTACATTTTTTTTTACCTCTTCCATACATAGTCAAGTTTACTTTCATTAATTTATTCCATTATTAAAAGATAAAACAGGTACTGGGGACATAACTCAGAGGCAGAATATGTGCTTAGCATTTTCAAGGCCCGAAGATAATTCCCAGCACAGTAACAACAAACAAGAAATAACTACTTCAAGAATAAAACCACAGGGCTTCATGCAGCTCAGTGGAAGAGTGCTTGTCTAATAGACACACAAGGTCCTGAGCTCATCCACGAGCCTCAGAAAGTAATAAATGATCAAATGAGTACATAGAATTGCAAGTGCCACTGGGGTTTAGAACGAAAAGTGTCAACTCTTTTTTTCAAGTCTAGAGTCAAATCTAGGATCAAATCTAGAGCCAGGACAGAAGAAGGCAAGTGCTCTGCCAGTAGCTAAACCCCTAGCCTGGAAAGTTAAAGCTCTTAGAAGTCCCGAAAACATGGTTGAATTAGTGTTTGTGGATAAATACCAATAAAATTAATACTGTGGGATAAATCAATATGCTAAAATATGGAAATATATCAAGTACTTATATATCCTCTTGAGTAATGTTAAACTTATACCGAAGTGTTAATTCCCAATAATTATTTTAATATACACTAAATATATACCTAGTGTCAATTATAAAGCAGAAAATCTAAAGTTTATATTAAGGCTTGCGAGCCTTAAAAACTGCCCCTTGGAAATTCTTTTTTTGTGTGTACTGGGGAGTGAGGTATGGTAGCCGAGACAGACCTACCATGCCTGGCTTTCTCTTTACAAAGCCTGTTGCCTCCACCAACCTTTATAACTGGCAGGTAATAATCTAAAACGAGCTTAACATCAAAAGCCAAGTTTAACAAAAGGTCCAAAGGCTCAGTTCCAAAAGAGTTAAGTCCAGATTTGAGAGACTAATACCAGACACACCAAGCTTGCATCACCCGCAAATAAAATTTTAGGAGGACAAATTTGTCAGTTCTTTAACATTATCTCTAGTCACACTTATCTATCAATTTGAAATTTTCAATCACACATCTTCCTAATGAAATGGGCAGTGCACACAAGAGGAGTGTTCACACAGGAGGATCGCTTTACCTCTGGCCTTAAGTTCATCTTCTTCTTCTATTTCTATATCCAGATCATCAAATACAGCAACCAGAGGAGTTTTCAATGTCGTATTACTAGGTATTTTAAAATCCTTAGTAACAGAAAGATATAGTATACTTGAGTAAATCCTTACATTAAAAAAAAAAAACACTTTAATTTATGGAACATTTATCCAATAATAATTATTCATGGGGCTGGATAGATGGCTCAGCGGTTAAGAACACTGGTTGTTCGAATCCCAGCACCCACATGGCAGCTAACAACTGTCCATAACTCCAGTCCCAGGAGATCCAACAGCCTCTTCTGACCTCCCCAGGCATTGAATGACACAGGTGCACTTACCTACATGCAGGCAATACACACATACACATAAAAATAATAAAATATTTTTTTTTAAATAGATCCCTAAAAATTTGTGGCATTAGCAATTATTGTAAAACTTACATTTATAATCTGTGGGAAACAAGTATCTATACTAATGAATTACATTACCATCTTAGCTTTATTAATATATGTTCTTATATCAACCACTTTTTTAAAAAGACTCATTTTTTAAAATTCTGTGTACGTATGTGAGTATGTACACGTGAGTGCAGATGCCTGCACAGGCCAGGGAAGTCAGATCCTAGAACCCAGACCTGGAGTTATAGGGGATAATGAGCAGCCAGTATAGGTCTGGGGATGTAATTCATGTCCTATGTAAGAACAGTAAGCGCTCTTAAATGCTGAGCCGTCTCTTGAGCGCCCCACAACCACTTTTCATAATGGATTTTTCTGAATTTAAACACAACTAATATTATCTAATTTAGTGATATCACACTCTGCTTTACAAGTCTCCAGAGTGCACTGTTCTGCACTGTCTTTTCAGATCTTCAGAGCTTCCCATAAGAAAAAAGTGAAAGCTTTTTCATGTCACACTCAACTTACTTACAGGTTTCCCCAATTTCTCCAATACTTATTACCAGGTTTATTTTGTACTCTCCTATTGACAGTTAAGTGGTTCAAATAGTTCTTTAAAGAATTAAGTGATCATTCTCTAACAAACTTATATATGGTTTTGTTTCATTTTTTTGTTTTTTTGTCTTTTTGAAGCAGGGTCTCCCTGTAGCCCCAGCTGTCCTGGAACTCACTATGTAGACCAGGCTGGCCTTGAACTCACAGAGATCCGCCTGTCTCTGCCTCCCAAGTGCTGGGACTACAGGCGTGCGCCACCACACCCGGCTATATGTTTTTTAAGTCTCTTGATCCAAAGGGGAAAAATCTTTAAGACTGATGCTAAATTTTAGTATCTTCTACCTGGTTTTCAATAAGTAGTCAAATGCTTACAGTAAAATAATGCCAGGGCAGAGGGGAGAAAACAGGGAAAAGGGAACTAAACTAGTACTTGTCATTCCCTACCAAAGGCTTTTAAATTTCAGTAGTGGGACTGGAGAGGTGGTTCAGCAGTTAAGAGCACTGACTGTTCTTGCAGAGGTCCATAGTTCAGTTCCCAGCACCTAACACGGCAGCTGACAACCAGCCATAACTCCAGTTCCAGGGGATCCAATGCCTTCTTCTGTTTGCACACACGGTACACTTACAAACATACAAAAAAACTCAAACACATAAAATAAAAATAAATTCAAAAACCATGATTTTAATTCTTTAGAACTTTTCCATCTTCAGGCCTACCCTAATCTATTATTCTGTACTATTCAAGAACAAAGCAGGGCACTGGAGGCACAGTATAAAGTTTTTTAAAGAACAGGTAAGGCACACAGGCTTGGTTTTTAAATTTCAACCACATGACAAATTCTGAAATTACCTGAATGCTTAAAATAAAGGCAATTGGCTTACCTGGACACTGTTTTCTTGTGTCTGTTGAGGTTGTCTTACATGAGGCAATGAAGCCGTTCCTAATTTTCTATCCAAAAATACTTCTTTGCTGCAAGCATAACACCACACTCGGAGAGTGGTAAGGTTCACAGTTAGATGATGTTTTGTCTCCTACGCAGTTTCACAGGAGAGGAAAAAAGGGATCACAATTAGATACACTTTAAAATGTTTCTTCAGGGACTGGAGAGATGGCTCAGTGGTTAAGAGCGCTGACTGCTCTTGCAGAGGACCTAGGTTCGATTCCCAGCACCCACATGGAGGCTACAAACCATGCTTAACTCCAGTTCCAGGGGAATGCAAAGCTGTCTTCTAACCTCCGCGGATATGGGTGCACTCACATACATGCAGGCAATATACTCATACACACAAAATAAAAATAATAAAATATTTTTTAAAAAAGAAAATGTTTCTTCAAAGGTCACATAATGAACCACTAGCCTTTCAACAAAATACTCAAAAGAGCTAATGTAGACACACATCCAAATTCCTCCTTAGATCAGCTGCTGAAATACTGTATATAGGAACAACCTACTCTACAAGTTATTCCATTGTCCATTTCCCCTTCCCATTCATAAACAAGGATCAATTCAGTCGACAAGTCCTCTCCCTGCAGTCAGCAACAGGAAAGTTATAATGCAGTGTGGTAACACGCCTAATCCCAGGATCTAGGAGGCGGGCCAAGAGGACCATGAGGTCAAATTCAGCCTCCACCACACAATGAATTCAAGGCCCATTTGGGCTACATAATACCTTGATTTTCAAAAAAATCCAGGAAAACAGAGCTACAAAAAAATGCAAAGTACTTGAGTTAGAGTAAAACACACCTCAGCAATAGGAGAGGAAAGGTCCTGGATAGAGAAATCTATAGCCTTTCTCAGGGTGATGCATGAGGACTGAGCCCTGCAGAAAGAGCTACATAAACAACACGATTTTCTAAATTTGTATTTTTATTTTGTATGTGTGAGTGGCACATAGCAAGCATCATCTAGATGCACAGAAGAGAAGTAAGCTGTGCACAATGATGCCTTAGAGTCCTGGGCTTCATTAATTCTCTTGAGGAAACCTGGTTGAGAACAGTTGATGCTACAGAGATACCACCAGGCATCTTTAAAAAAAAAAAAATTATTATTTTTATTTTATGTGTATGTGTATGTGTGTATTGCCTGCATGTAGGTAAGTGTCACGCAATGCCTGTGGAGGACAGAAGAGACTGTCGGATCCCCTGGAACTGGAGTTACGGACAGTTGTTAGCTGCCATGTGGGGGCTGGGATTCGAACCCGGGTCTTCCGCAAGAACAGTGTTTTTAACCACCAAGCCATCTCTCCAGCCCCACCAACAGGCATCTTAAGATACCATTCATTTGAGAAATCTACAGTTTAGAAGGGGAGAGCTGCCTAATACTAACACAAGGTTCATGTCAGTTTCATGGAAAGCACTGAACAGCCAGAACAATGTAGAAAAGGTACTGCAGAGCAAGGACTGTGATAAGAGCTAAAGTATGAGGAAGTTAGCTGCTATGCTATCATGAAACTCAGCACTGTCCCAATAGGTGGTAAAAGCACTTACAGCACAAGCTTGATGACCTGAGTGTGATTCCTGGAAACCACAGTGGAAGGAAAAAACTTAACTCCCCAAAATTGACACTGACCTCCACATATGTGCTATCACACACACACACACACACACACACACACACACACACACTCACACATAGTAATAAAACACAATTAATTAAATTTAAAAAGAAACAAAGACTTACACATCTACTCTCTAACCATAATGTAATATCCTAGTAAACACCTCCACATACCTGGGTATATACTTCTCACATCAGTACTGTATTAAAGATAGCCATAAATCTAATATTGATTTTCCTATTAATCTCCCCCCCACACACACACCTCTCACTGAGAATGAGCAAAGTCTTAATGCATAAATCTCTTTAAAAACATAGGACTCCAGGTTGGTGAGGTGTCACACACCTGCAGTCCCAACATGGAAAAGGCAAAGGCAGGAGAGTGTCGGGTTCCAGCCCGTCTGGGCACAGGGAAACCCACCTCAAAACAAAACACTCACGAATTCTAAAGTACAACTTGAATTAATACTGTTTTATTGATTCTCCCCTTCCTTCAAGCTCTCTTCCAAAAATTATATTGCAGAGTTGAGAGTACAGCTCAGTAACACAGCAAATGCTTAGCATATGCAAAGCCCTGGGTTCAATCCCCAGCACTAATTATTGTGCATCACATAATTATATACATACCTGAGAATGTATGGTGCTGTGATCTACTTGTGATTCACCACAGCCAACATAGGAACATCTATTCTATAAATGATTATACAAGGAGAGTAGTTTGTAACATATGCATAAATTCATAATACTAATTACAATTATATTTATACCTGTTTTAACCCAATGATTGAATTGCTTTCTATAGTTAGACAACTTTACTAAAAGATACGAAGCACAAAGACCAGAATAAATATTCTATGCTGAAAGTTGTATCATTTCCAATAAAAAGCAAGCATAAAATATCTGAGTGGTTTACTAAATGCCCTATAAGAATGCTTAAATTAAAATCCATACAAAGTTTGAACTTTAATGTTTTGTTATTAATGATATTTAAAAGTATGCTCACTTACAAAATTCTTTCAAGTATCAAAAATATTGCTGTCATTATTTAAAAATTTATAATAGCAAACTTTACAAGAATAGATATACATGTACCTCCAGGCAAGCCCAAAGATTTGGTCCTCTGACTTTACAGTCTTGACAAGTACCCTAGAAAAGAAATACAAAGGATATTTGCTGTATTGACACAGTCAAATATATACAATTCAGTAATAACATATTTTTTAAATGTGGTACGAGTATTATATTATTTTTTTAAATGTATTTTAAAAGTGAATATGACCTTTTAAGGAGAATTAATCTAAAACTTACATGAGATTTTTGTATCAAATCCTCTTTTGTTATTTCACCAACTGAATCCAAATGTGGACAATGATTTCGAAAAGTCGTCATTTTGTTAGAATTTTTTTCTTGTTTTCCAAGGCTCTCCAAATGAGGCAATCAATGCCTACAGGAAAATTAGAAAATGTTAATGTGCTAAAAGTGATTAAAACAAAAGATTATGGGACTAGAGAGATGACTCAGTGGTTAAGAGTACTGATTGCTCTTGCAGAAGACCCAGATTCGATTCCCAGCACCTAACAACTGTCCATTACTCCAGTTCTAGGGGATCTGACTCCTTCCTCTGATCTCCTAGGGGACTGCACAACACAGGTGTACTTACACACATATAGGCAATACACTCATACACATAAAATAAAAATAGTATATATATATATTTGGTCTTTTTGAGACAGGGTCTCCCTGTAGCCCCAAGCTGTCCTGGAACTCACTATGTAGACCAGGCTGTTCTTGAACTCACAGGGATCCACCTGCCTCTGCCTCCCAAGTGCTGAGATTAAAGGCGTGCGCCACCACGCCTGGCTAAAAGTAATATTTTTTAAAAAATTATGTAAGGCATATACAAGCTTGCCCTGCAAAAGAATGTGTTTTTAGACTTACCTGTTCATTTTATTTTTTTTAAGATTTTTTATTTATTGTCTTTTTGAGACAGAGTCTCCCTGTAGATCCAGCTGGCTGGGAACTCGCTATGGAGACCAGGCTGGCCTTGAACTCACAAAGATTCACCTGCCTTTGCCTCCCGAGTGCTGGGATTAAAGGCGTGCACTGTCAGGCCTGGCTTAAAATTTTTAAATTTTTTATTTATTTATTTATTTTATGTGTATGCATGTCCTGCCTGCATGTATGTAAGTGCATCTGTGTCATGCAATGCCCATGGAGGTCAGAAAAGGGTGTCAAATCTCCTGGAACTGGAGCTACGAACAGTTGTTAGCCACCACGCTGGGAATCAAGCCCAAGGCTTCTGCAAGAGCAGCCAGTACTCTTAACCACTGAGTCATCTCTCCAGCTCCTTATTTATTTTTGAGACAGGGTCTCTCTGTAGACCCAGCTGACCTAGAACTCGCTATATAAACTAGGCTGGACTTGAACTCACAGAGATCCACCTGCCTCTGCCTCCCTAGTGTTCAGATGAAACCCGACCAGTGCTCTTAACTGCTGAACCATCTCTGCAGTCCTAGTAAGACAATTTTTAAATGTTTAAAAAATATTAAGTAGCCAGGCACAGTGGTGCATGCCTTTAATCCCAGCCCTCAGAGGCAGAGGCAGGCAGATCTCTGTGAGTTCAAGGCCAGCCTGGTCTACACAGTGAGTTCTAGGACAGCTGGGGCTACAGGGAGACCCTGTCTCAAAAAGACCAAAAAAAAGAAAAAAATTAAGTAAGCCACACTGTAGGCTTTCAGAGCATGAGGTTAAATTTAAGCACCTATAATGCTCTCTATTCTTATTTATGTTTATGACACTCTTTCTCACCTATTTCTCATCTCTTATCTCCCAAGTACATCTACCGCCAGTTAAAATGAAACAGCAGCGTTCAAATCTACCCTTTCCCCTTAAATAACTAAAACAATAAAGACAAAATATATTTAAAAAATGGATTTTAGGCACCAGACAACAGACAGTGCAGAACATTGGTCCCAATAAGATGAAAATGAGGTAAGCCAGATGACTGCCCAGGTCAGCCTGTAGAGGATGTCTAGTCCTCAGAGCGGCACCAGGAAAGAAGGGGGTGGTTTCAGGGTTGGAGAGACAGTACAGAACTTAGGGAGGACAGGTGGGACACTCACAGGGTGGAGCAGTCAAGAGAAAAGAACACAGACATAAGCAAGTTCTGGGAAAGCTGCAAGGGGCCACCATCACACATTAGCTGAGCACAAAGGAGTGAAAACCAGAGATTAGGGCAAGACAGGGAAAGACCCACAGGTTAGAGCAGGGAGGGACATTCTTAAAGTTTTACACAAGGCTGCTTATGTTCTCACCAGTCAGTTGAAAGACTTGATAACAGAGGGAACAGAGCATTCAGAAGGGCACTGCCTCAGTAGTGGGGAATAAAAGTTATCCCTGTACCAAAAGCTACTTTGGCACTGTCTTTTAAAAGCTCAAAAGGAAGTCTTTTTTAAAATTCAAACTGCAAGGCTGGAGAAATGCCTCTACAGTTAAAATGCACTTACTGCTCTTACAGAAGATCCAAGTTTGGTTCTCAGTACCTATGTAGAGCAGCTCACAACTACCTGCAACTTCCAGTTCTGGGGGATCTGGCACCCTCTTCTGGCCTCCACAGGCACCTGCATGCACATGGTACACATACACATTCAGGTATGCACACACACGCAAAATAAATAACCATCATTTTAAAAAAAATGTGAAAGGGCAGGCATGGTGACACATGACTTTTATTCTAGCACTCAGGAGGCAGAAGCATGTAGAACTCTGTGATTTAGAGGCTAGCCTGGTCTACATAGAGAGCTCCAGGTCAGCCATGACTAATAGTGAGAACCTGTCTCAAAAAAAAAAAAAAAAACCAGGGGGGTGGAGTGTGCCTTTAGTCCCAGCACTGAATGGCAGAGGCAGGCAAGATCTCTATGAGTTCAAGGCCAGCCTGGTCTACATAGCGAGTTACAGGACAGCTTGGGCTACAGGGAAACTCTGCCTGAAAAAGACCAAAAATAAATTTAAAAAAAATAAAGAGAGACACCCAGAAATAGAAGATGAAAAAAATAAGCCTAAATCGGGCTTGGTAGGGCATACCTTTAATCCCAGAACTTGGGAGGCAGAGGCAGATGGACCTCTGTGAGTTCAAGGCCATCCTGGTCTACACAGCCAGTTCCAGGTCAGCTAGAGCTACAAGAAGACCCTGTCTCAAAAAGATCAAAAAAAGAAAGAAAGAAAAAAAAAGATGATAGAATAAACACGTGCATGTTGTAAAGAGACAGGGTCTCGGGAAGTGGGGGTGGGGGAAGCAAGCTACTAAAGACTGAAAAAAAAAGTTTAGGGCTAGAGCATTTGCAAGAGCGTCAATGCTCTTACTTGAGCCATCTCTCCAGCCCAAAGGCACCGCTTTTAAGCCAGAGGTGGTACATGTACGAGGCTGAGGCAGAAGCCAGACATGGTGACACATGCCTTTAACTTGTTTATCTTGGGAGATGGAGGCAGGTGGATCTCTGGACATGTGAAGCCAGCCTGGTCTACACAGCGAGTTCCAGGCTAGCCCAGGACTACATTCTCTCTCTCTCTCTCTCTCTCTCTCTCTCTCTCTCTCACACACACACACACACACACACACACACACACAAAGGTGGGGGCAGGGCAAAAGGATTAAGAGTTTAAGGCCAGCTCGGCCTACTGCTATACTGTCAATCAGTGCCCAATTTAAAGTCCTGGTCACTTACCTTCCTACTGTAGGCTCATATTAAAACACCTATTCAGTGAAGGAACTTGGCAAATTGGCTTTATTTAAGCCCATTTCCAGTTTTATATACAATCTAGATTCCATATAAGACAGAAAACATGGTATTTGTCTTTGTGAGTCTGGCTTATTTCACCTTAACCGATTATCTCTAGTTCCACCTATTCTCCTGCAAACAGCATAATTTCATTCCTCTATATAGCTGAATAAAACTCGTGTGTGTGTGTGTGTGTGTGTGTGTGTGTGTGTGTGTATCTACCACATATTTATGGGGGGCGTCTTTTTATAGCCCCAGCTGGTCTGGAACTATGTAGACCAGGCTGGCCTTGAACTCAAGAGATCCGCCTCCAGAGTGCTGGGCTTTAAAGGCGTCCACTATGTTTTCTTTATCCACTCACCTGTTGACAGACATTTAAAATGGTTCCATAACTTGGCTATCATGACTAGTGTACAATAAACATGGATGTGCAAGTATTTCTGTGGCATGCTGACTTGCGTCCTTTACGTAGCAGTAGTACGGCTAGATGCTCGATGTTACAGTTTTTCTGAGAACCTCCACACTGATTTCCATGGTGGCTACCAGTTTACAATCCCACTAGCAGTGAATAAGGGTTCCCTCTCCAATTCTTGATAACACTTATTTGTTTTCTTGATGAGAGCCATTCTGACTGTTAGAATCAGTTTTAATTTGCATTTCCCTGATAGTTCAGATTCTGATGTTGAACAAGTTTTCAAATATTTAGTGGTCATTTTCATTTATTTTTGAGATTATTCTGTTGATTTGTCCATTGATTGTATGATTTTTGAGGTGTTTAATTTTAGGGTTCTTTGTAAATTCTAATTCTCTGAATCCTGGAGTCAGATGTATAGACAAAGATTTTCTCTCATTCTGTAGGCTGTCTCTTCACTAAGTTCTTACTTTAAGCAGTTTTGACAGTTTGCTATCATTCCCCTCTATTCTTATGTAGGGATTTTTAAAAAGTGTCTGTGTATGTATATGTGTATGCACATGTGTGGACAGAACAAGATACTGAATTCCCTGGAGCTGGAGTTCCAGGCAGTTGAAGCTACTTGACCTGAGTGGTGGAACTGAACCCGGGTCCTCCGCAGGAGCAGGAAATGCTCTTAGCACCGAGTCCTCTCTCCAGCCTAGTGCTTACAGAAGTGATCTTGAGCATTAGGAAACATACTCTCAGGAATTCTGACACCTGGCCACATTTCATGCTTCACTTGCCTTCACATTACTGGCAGATCTGGTGTGCCATGATCCTTGCATTGCTGCAATACAGTCTAGGGGATCAAAAAGAAGCACTAGATGTGCTTCATACTTAGGACCTACTGAGTAATTTTGTATTTATAAATCTTGTATTTCTATACAGGTAATACTGGTATTTTTAGCAGCATTTTTTTAAATATTTTATTTTATGTGTATGCGTGTATTGCCTGCACAAGAGAAAATTAAGATAAGCGCAACTTTGATCTCAGCACTCAAGAGGCAGAGGCAGGCAGATCTCTGTGAGTTGAGGAAAGCCTGTTCTACAAAGTGAGCCCAGGCCAGAGAGAGCTACATAGTGAGATCCTGTCTCAAAAACAAAACAAAACAAAACAAAAAAAAAAAAAAAAAAAAAAAAAAAAAAAAAAAAAAAAAAAAAAGATAAGCTGGGCACAGTGATGCATGTCTGTAACTCCAGAATGAGGAGGTA